ATACAATAACATGGTATGACAGGAAGACCAAAGCAAAACAACATGAAATCCACCTGTCAAACATAAACACCAACATATGCTTTTCTTAGTTACAAAGAAATACCAACCGGTCCAGATTCTATCTCATAGAGCCGACCCAAATATCTATATAATTTAATTAAGTTACAAAATTCATTTCTAACCTTTTGCTTAGGTTTTTTTTTTTTTTTTTTTTTTTTTTTCGTTTGTTAACTTCTTTTCGCCTTTTTATAAAATTTTCGGTTTTAAACTTTTTTTTTATAAATGTCTTTACCACTTACTTGAAGGCAGTTGGGATTCTTTTTTGTTTTTATTTTTTGATTTTTAAATTAAATATTGGTTTGAGTTTTCAATGTTTAATAATTATAAAATTTAAATAAGAAGACACGTGCTCAGGAAAGAACAACGCTTTCTTATGAAACATCCTCGTAATCTTTGTCACTGTTTCTGTCTTCTGCTTGAGAGATAGAAACTCCTAGGCCAACCGTTCCCTCTCCACCCAAGGAACATACTCATCTATGAACAATTGGGTAAACCTCTCCAAAGTAACTGCAACATGATCTGCAGGAGTAAAATCAGTCATCACGAACTTCCACCAGTCCTTCGCTCCCAAGCGAAGTTGGTTTAGTGCAAACTGAACTCTCAAGTGCTCCGAGCATGTATAGAAACACTCCTCAATGTCAGGGATCCATCTCATGGCAGCAATCGGGTCCTGGGTCCCGTCAAACTCTGGTGACTTCGTGTTGTTGAAATCCTAAAACAACAATGAGTCACCCCCTGTGGCCTCGCAGCAGCTACGACTGCGGCAACGACAACCTCCGTGACAGCAACATATCACTCATCAAATGTCTCAATCAACATGGTATTAATAGACCTAAACATCTCTGGTATTGCCTCCCTGATAGCTGTGGCCACCTCCTCAGCAATGATCCTGTGGATCTCCTCGTCACTGGTACCACTGCCCCCGAGGTTGTTGCGGGTAATCACCATAGTGTCTTTGAAACACAAACACGAAAATCATCAGAGACTAGCTCAAGCACACACTCCATTACCCACCCCTACATGCTCCTTAGTATCCTAAGGTTCTTACTTGGGTCTCATACAGATTCGGTGCTTTCAGTAGTATAGGTCTAATACTACCATCCACACCAACCCATAGTCTCCCCAATCCTCCTCCTAGGATTCTAATTCACAAGTACTCTATCCCTCATGGATATCAAACTACTCTCTCAGTAGAATCCTCAATGCTCATCTAGGTATCTCTCTCTTAGATTACTCAAACTCTCTCTAACAGATTCCTGCTATGTACCCCTACTCTAAACACACACATAGCAAATAGCAGATAATATCAATCAATAGCATCCCCATAGGCTAAGACATCATGAATCGGGCAACTCTAGCTCTAAATTCCCGAAGCTCTAATATCTCATAAGTATCTCATCTCATAATATAAACAACTAATGGTATTTTGGGAAATCATCGTTTGGGCTCTGGCTGATTCTACACACTGCTTCATCTCGTTTTCTCTTAAAAGCTCTTACTCGTTTTAGAAAAAATCATTTATTTTTAGAAAATTTTCTCAAATCCTCAGTATGAGTCCAGAAATATCGGAGAGTACATCTGAATCCATCAAGCCAAGGCTCTTAAACCAACTTGTAAGACTATAAATTTTCAAACAAAATTTTCATTTTTAAAACTTCATAAAACACAATCTCATTTTCTCAAAACCCAAATGTTTGAGTTGTTCAAAACACAAGACAACAAAATGTTTGACAATATCCCAGAATCCTCTAAACATAATCTCAAGCTGGTGTGTACAATCAAGCCGATGCCATCCCGCGATCCTGAGAGGTACTTGAAACACATTTCACACAATATTGTAAACACGAAGCTTAGTAAGTTTCCCAAAATACCACACACAAATAATTAGCCTCTCGTGGCTAGATCTCAATAAGGACCCTCCCGTCATGTGTCTCAGTGAAGACCCTTCGGTCTTACAGCTCGGGTTGGAGCCTCCAGTCCGGTATCTCAGTGAAGACCCTCCGGTCTCACAACTCGGTTTGGACCCTCCGATCCTAACTCAATAAGGCACATAATAATATACAACATAAATCACAAAGACAAAATGCATGATATCAAATAACTCAGAATAAGCACATAAGACCCTCCGGTTAATAACTCATATAAGATCTCCGATCACATAGTATTACCACTCATGTAATTATAATGAGAAGACTCACCTCGTACGTCAGCAAGTAGGTCTCATACTCAACGATCGGTCTAGACTCCGCCTACATATCATAAGCATCTCTAATTAACACTTTATAACAACTCTAAAGATGTTAAGCTAACCCCCTTTTTTAACTCTCGGAAAGGATGAAAGACCATTTTACCCCTCCATGGTCTCCATAATCCATAACTTGACCAAACCCTAAAAGTCAACGGAAGTCAAAACTCGAGTCAACAGTCCATGTTGACCCAACTCGTCAAGTGCATCTATGCGACCCGTCAAGTTCCTTCGTTTCTTCCGAAAAATCAGGAAATCCATCTCAACTCGCCAAGTTGTCTCACCAACTCCCTAAGTTCACAACGCATCCAAACTATCAGGGGAAACCCTAACCAACTTGTCGAGTTGGCTCACTAACTCGTCGAGTCCCCTCAGTCCATTTTCTCATTCAGATGTTTTTAAGCAAAACTAAGGCTCCATACTCTAGATATAGCCTTCTAAGGCCGAAATACCACGTAAAGCTGCAAGCTTTACGTTCATGCATGACATATATGGCTATGTTTGCCAACCTAAAGTTAAATAGAGGGTTTAAGGCATGAAAGTTGGCCAAAGCTTGATAAAGATTGAATCTTTTGCTCTAAGGGACCTCATACTTTTCAAATCTGAAGTCTCATCTTCAAGGCATGCTAAAACAACTAAAGAACTCAAAGAGGAGATGAAAATGGCCATAAACTCCCTAGTGAAGAGATCTAACAAACAAATGGTCAAGGCGATAACTTTTTACCTCCAAATAGCAGCTAACACTGAAAGAGTACTGGATCCAATGGATCCTTATCGTTCCAAGCCTTTTGCTCCTGAAACTCCTTCCAAGAATGCACTAAAACACACACTTTTAGCCTCTCTCTCCCTCTCTCACACACACAGATGATAATAACTCAATTAGGGTTTCTCTCAGCGTGTTAAGGCGTTGAGGGAGACGGGGGTAAAGGACTTAAGGTCCTTTAAATAGGGTGCAAACCCTGTAAATTAAGGTTTTCAAACTTAGCTCCTACTCGTCGAGTCGGGTCCCCCAACTTGTCGAGTAGACTTTAAAAATCACGCGACCATCTCAATCTCTACTCGGCGAGTTGGGGCCTCCAACTCGTCGAGTTACCCTGACAAAATGAATATAATTTAATTAAATAGTATAGCTGGGAGTCGGGATGTTACACAACCTGTCACAACTCACAACTGTTGTTGGAAAAGAAAAGTAATAACATAAAGCAAAACTATAGAACTATATCAATTGAAAACCAAAGTCTGAAATACAAATGCTAACCAAAATGTAAAATCCAAATAAATACCATAGTCGATTGATTTTCTGAAAATGCAAAACAAAATTAATTGATTTCTCAAACCTGCAATAATTGAAAACGGATAATATAAGAACCGACTATGGATAGATCTAGTTCATCAGTATTCTAGAACACCCATCGACCCCCTATTGTGATGCTTCGACGAATCCATATACCAACACCAGTCATCAATGAGATTCTATTTCTCAAGCAGATCGTTCAGAGGTCGATGAGGGGGGAAGATAGACACTGAGAGAGAGAGAGAGAGAGAAAGAGAGAAAGAGAAAGGGGGGGGGGGAATGAGGGATGTCGACAAGGTTAGGTCACCGAAAAAGGTACAATCACATATATTCGAGGATTCCAGTGACTCTTAAGATGTATGGTGTCTAGTAAAATGGGAACGAGAGATAGAAATTTATGTTCTTTTATAGGTGCAGTGGAAGAAGGGAGGAGGTTGATGTAGGTATCCGACGAAGAGAGTGAATGGAGGAGGATGGGAGAGCCGACCAATGAAGGGCAAGAAATGAAGCTTGTTTTCATGTATTTGGGTACAGGGAAGGAGAAAATAAAGGGCTTGTATATTTATATATTTTATTAATACATTAATATAGGAGAAAAGAAAGGCTCATATATTTCTATTTCTTTTGATAAATTAATAAATACAAAAAAAAATATTAAGGGTAATATTATCTTTTTAGGTCTAGTAGGGACTAAGCACGTAACAAAAAAACAATAAGGATGGTCCGAGTTAAAAAAATAACTTAGGGACAAAACATGAAAATTACCCCCAACCATAAGTACTATCCATGTTATTTACTCATATATATATATATATATATATATATATATATATATATATATATATATACACACACACACACACACACACACACACACACACACTATATTATTAAGGATATTACCCATTTCTTGAAATTTAAGAGGTACTACACCTACTGCATAATATACAATCAATTTATTCATACCTTTTAATACTCCTATCACATTTCCGTTTTACAAATTAATTGCATTAAATATTCACATTTTTGTTTGACAAATTAATGACATTAACATTGACGTTTCATAAATTGAATCAAAAAAGTAAACATACTATTTTTCTCCTCTGTCATCTACAGTCGCATTTTACCTTAAACAAATACCAAAAACCCTATTTTGAAAAGCTGACATTGCACCTCATCCACCTAACTCATCGTTATCATCACCATCAGTAGTGAATCACCACCCACTCTCCAACCTCGCACCACTCACTGTATCTGTATTTGATTGTCGACGCCGCCACCTACTGTGCTCTCGCAACACTTTTTCGGTGACAAGAAGCCACCACGCTCTCGCTTTATCTCCTCTGTCCTCTACACACGCACCATTCGCTTGAGATTACTTCGAGGATTAGCAGCTTTCAGATGAGATCCAAGCACTCTATTAACCGTAAGTTTTGTTTTTTTAAATGCAAATTCGAAGTTGAAATTGTCATGTTCAAGAGAATGAATCTGAAAAAAGGGCTCAATGAAGATTCAATTTGATGTCAGAATTAATGTGCAAATACAGATTCTTTGTTCCAGTTTTGATGTCAAGCCTAGCTCTTTCAAATTATTACATGTTCGAGTGTCGTCTGTGTGTCTCTAGCCTCAAAACCAACGTCTGTATAAGGTCAAAATGCTTAAGGGTATCGGTAGTCACCCAAGGCAAAGTTCTGTTTTTGAGGTTTCAACTTTGCTGGGATATTGGTTCTCTCAGAGTGTTAATTTGGTAATAGTAATGCCGAAAACATGTGTTTTATGAATTGCTGATGAAAAGGTGACTTTTTGAATTTGTTTGCTTGTTGCTCTTCTTGTTGAACCCTAACTTCAATTTTACAATAAGTAACAACCTTTTTGACATCAGAAGCGAAACTTTCTTTGGCATTCCTAGACCCTGGTATACTCTTTTAAATAAAAAGAGTTGATTTTGTTCATGTACATTTCAGTAAACACTTATTTGTACATGTAAAAATGCAAATATATTGAAAGAATGAATCATATGCTGATAAAGTAAAAAGAAATTGGTATTTAAAGATGCATATTTTAAATTCAAGATGGATAATCAGTACCAGAGAGATGTCATTTCCAGCTTTCTTAATTTGATTGTAGAGATGTGGTGCTTAGGATTTGAACATTACTGATTATATTGTTATCTGAAATTAATCTATGATTTATCCAAACAAAAAACAGTTTTACTGACTTTATCATATTCCTACAGGTGCTCAAAATATGAGCTCTGAAAGGCCACTTAGGCAATTCGTTACAGGTAAAGACAAGTCAGCAGGTAGAAATTTAAAGGGTCGTATCACAATTTTCCACAGAGGGGAAGGGGCAAAACGGTCACAAAGAACAATTGATCTAAAACGCAACACTTCATCAGTAGGTGTAGTTGAACGAATCGAATACGACCCAAATTGCACTTCACGGATCGCAGTGGTCAGATGGGTAGAAGGGGCAGCTGTTGACCGCTCGAAAGAAGTCAACTCCCTCCAAAAAAAACTTCACCCCACCCCCTAAGATCCTACCCTCCATCTCCATCAAAGGTCAGTTTTCATTCTCTTCAATTCTCGAAATGTTAGAAGACAAAAGGTGGAATCTTTAAGGCCTAAAACAGATCATGTAGCGGTTGGAGTTTCAAAAGGTAGTAGGACCTTGAGTAGTCAAAGTCAAAGTCAAACGAGGACCCAAATGAGAATTGTTAAGGATGCTTTCTTATCTGCTTTTTAATCTTCAAATGGGGAAAAAAAAATACATGATGCTCCTTCTTCGTTTGTGAACGTGTTGGGTGTTCCAAGAATGGCGGTGGCAGGGGCAAAACCAGAATTTTTTGTTCCAAGAATGAAAGATGATGTGAAAGAGAATGAAAGTATGTTGCTTAATGAGGTAAAAAGGTGGGATAAGGATAGTGTTGTGTGGGGGCATAAGATGAAACGAAAAACAGTTGTTTCTTGGGGGGAGTTTGAGACAAAGGGGGATTTTAGGGGTTGTTAATGAGTCAGAGTCAAAGTCAAAGGTGAAAGAAAGTGAAAAGGTGGAAAAAGATGGGAAATTTGGAGTGGATCGAGCTCTTGTGAGTTATATATTGGCTACCTAAGTGTCGGTTTATCTGTTACCTAAGTGTCGATTTATTTGTTACCTGTCTGTTGTGATAAAAAAACAACATAAATCATAATTATACTGAAAAAACAAATATTTAAATGGGTTTGTAATCAAGAGTGTACATTTATATATTATTATTTTACAATTTGCATAGTTTGACATAACAGGGTTTGTAATCAAAAGTGTACATTTATATATTATTATTTTAATTATACTGATAATTGTTTATATGTAGTAAACTATTTGTGCAAAATAATTAATTGTCTCTACAATTTAATTTTTGAATAAAATATCCGCATACGACGCTTGGCGAGGGTAAACGGCTTATATACACACACACACACACACACAAACACACACATATATATATGCCCGCGCAAAATAACAGCGGTAAATAACTCTTTTAACGAATACTTTTTTACAGGGAAATAAGTATTGAATTTAACTATTAGTTATTATGTAAAAAATAACACTTTTAAATAAAATATTTATATTTAGACCTTATGTTTACATTGCATGTTTATATATTTAATGTAAATTAATTAATATTGGTGTGTAGTTTAAGAAATTTAAATTAATTTATATACATGAATTTAATATTTTAAAATTATCATTTTGCTTCAAATTAAATTTCTTAATAACCTTCCTTAATTTAAATATTCAAACTTTTGATAAGTGTTAATGACAATTATGCATAATTGATTTATATAAAAAAATTTGTAACTTATACCTTTAAAATTCATGATATGTCTAACATGCTTTATATATATATATATATATATATATATATATATATATATATATATATATATATATATATATATATATATATATATATATATATATATATATATATATATATATATATATATATAACCACTTGATCCTCGATTTCATAAATATCTAAATATGTTACCAAATGACTTCTAACCCAAATGTATTAGGTGTTGTCATCCATCCTTAAAATCGAAGGATTAAATCTTGTCTAAGACATATGGATTTAAAAGTAGTTTAAGATTATGTTAGATTTGTCATTCTAAAAAATATAAATAAGTTCGGTAATTGTCATCACACAAGATGCATGTGATGGTTTCCATCTCACTTTATGATTAATGATTTATAATGATTTTAAATTCTTTTTTTAGAATAATGAAAATATATGAATAAACTGTTCTAATAAGGAGCTAAAAACAAATAAAACCTAAATAGTAGTTATAACTGAAAGATGATTATACAACCACCTATCCTAACCATATTTTGTATTTTTTTTTCTTAGATTACTAATTCAAAAGAACTACATAGACACATTATCATCAAAATGTCTTCTTTATTCGGTTTAGTCATTCCAATGAGCAAGATATTTAGATGTCTCCACAAAGTCTAAAAAGTCATGATAACTACCACACCAAAATCTTTTTCTAAATATTTAATAATGTCATATCAGACCAAGAGATGAAGCTAGAAACCATGTACATTGTGCAGAACAAAATATTCCATGAAACACCAATTTGAGTCTATAAAAGACATGATTGATGGATAATTAGTGAACACATGATCAAAATATTTTGTCCCTCCCATCTCCTTTGTCTTTTGGCGATGCAAGTATCCTTCCAAGAAGGGTGTTTCAGTTTTGCTTGGTGGCCAAAGAAGAAGGGCTTGAAGATCTTTCTTGAATGCAGCTTTGAGGTATCATTGCCATTGAGAGACTCTAATTTGAGTCTTTGGATTTGGATTTCTTACTGACATCAAGTAAATATAATCAAACCGACCTTTTATATATATTATTAGATGCATTTAAATTATTGATAATTTGACTCATTGCATTAATCATGATGATATTGATAAATTTGTTATGTTGTTTCTTTTGTTTAACTAATTTTTAGTAAGCATCATGATCCAACAAAAGTCTCATTCTCTAAACAAAACGTTTACCTTAATCTTTGGATTCGATGATGGTGGGAATTATATATTCCGAAAACGTTTTATCTATACATAAGGTTTTTCAACACTTTCCATTATTTGATAAAGTACAATAGTCTTGAAATGCGGAAAATATGACCTAATGTCCAATGAAAATTGTTTATTCAAACCCAATCCAGTCCATGAGATGTGGGCGAATACAATCCATTACTAAGTTTACGAGATTATGTTGGGTATTTTTGTTTGTAGGGTATCCGAACCCAATCCATGACCCAAATAATTGGTTTACTCTTTATTTACATATAACACTTTTTAATCCAGTCCATGAAATGTGGCCGAATACAACATCCTTTTTAGCCCAATTAATAAATCAAGCTTTTAATGGTTGAAGTTATGTATGTATGTATTATTTATTTATTTTTTTAAATTATTATTATTATTATTATTATTATTATTATTATTATTTTATTTTTATTTTTTAATTTTAATGAAATTATGTGGTTAAGAATTATTCTGGGCAGTTAATTTAGACGAGTAACAACATTTAATTTTCCAAAGAAACATAATCATATTCTGCATATATATGATTATGTTTTTTATTTAATTTAGACGAGTAACAACATTTAATATATAAGACCTTTAACCTGTTTACTCTTTTTTTATTTTTTATTTTTTATTTTTTTAAATTTTTTATTTACTCCCAACTTTAAAGGCGGTATATTATTTGAATATTATGAAATTTATTTTTTGAAATATAAGGAAAAAAATGGCTATTTAGTTTTATTTACACGATTTAATTTTCCAAAAAACAGACTTTGTATTTTACATTTGTTTCAGAGTGAGGGGTCCGCCCTTCCTCATACTAATCCGGTCATTTCCGAATCTGTATTTCTCATCCCATTAATAAAAATAAAGAGAAATTAAATATACTCATAGTTTTCTTCCTACATATATATTACTACCCATTTGAAATGATGAAAAATGTATTAAAATATTATTAATCTTATCCAAATATAACACATGTCATCATTATACATGAGTAGGAGGATAAGTAGGAACAAAAGATAGGAGAATATTTAATTTCTCAAAATTAAAATCAAATTAAAAAAAAATAGTCCCTTATTGTTTATTTATTTATTTTTGAAATTCAAGCAAGGGGTTTGGATTAGGCCATCACCTTGATTGGGCTCTACACTAATAACCATCTCAGTTGTTTGAAAAATGTTCCCTACCGGCCCAATTCACTAATTAATAAATATGCAGAATATGGATATACATAATACCAATTATAAAGTTATAATTATTTAAATATCGTTCGAACTTTTAGTAATCTTTATAATATGCTAATGACATTAATTTTTTTACTCGAGATTCACTTATTATTATTTCGCAAAGGCAACTAGAAACCAAAGAAAATATACATATGATTGCATTTGCTTTTGAACTTATAAATCATTTACTTCACACTCACGAAAGTTTAGTTGAACGTTAAATTTCTGTATCAAGCATCCTTTAAAATAAATGAATTATTTGAAATGAATATATAATGTAATTAAATTATTTGACTAATAATTACACATCTAAAATATAATTCAAGAATAACATCACAAAGTTAAGTTGTAGAATCTAAAATCAAGACCTTTTTTATATGTATCTTATTTGGTTTGGTAAATGTCTAAGTCTGACTTGGTGATACAAACGGTTTGATATTACATTTAGAAGTGTCTAACTCGATCATGACTCTTCTGATATTCCTTTTACTTTGTCAGATTCAGAGTTTGTCTGACTCGGTCAAATCTTGTCACAATCAAATCTGATTCAATCGTCAACTATCAAATAACCTATTAATGTCATGCATATTAAAAATTATCATAACTTAATCAAATTCAAATCACAAAGCATGAAGAGTCTAAGAAGGTAAAGTTGCTTTCATTTCTTAATCTATATGTATATACTATTATACTTTCTTTCGTTTTTTTAATCTAAAAATCTTATTAGAATTTATTTTCATTTTGTAATGTTTAGATTATGCTTCACAGGATTTGATTCATTGTAGATAATGATTGTCTCATTTTTGTTTATGCTAAAGGTTTTTATACATTTGATCAATGATGATATATTTGTATCATATTAAAGATTGTGTTTATTAAATGAGAAATAAAATATTTATTTTTAGGTGGAAAAGAAAGAATAAAATAATGAGCGATCCAAGAAAAAGATGCTCACAAGTCACTTGAGTGTTTGACTGAGTCGGAATGAGAGTCAGAGTCAGACTTGGTGGCACATCCTTAATTCTTGTGTCTCCAAACATTACCATTCAAACATTATCTAATCCAACTTGTTAATGCTTTTAATCACTACATGTTGATTCCTATTTGTTTGTATTAGGCAAATTAAATTAAATTACTTTATTCTTGTAAGCTTGGTGTTCGATTAAAGAAAAAACTAAATAATAACGTAATTCTTCAATTTCAATGATATTTATTTTTTAATCAATA